CCCTCCCCCCCCCCTCGCTTTTCCCCCTTTAAGGCGGGTTCGCGATCACCCTCCCGTACGCTAAACGTGTTTTCTTAAGCTAAAGGCCCATTTACGATCGTTTTGGCTCAGTTAATATAAATTCGGTTTTATTTAAGCAAAGGCGGTTTTGTCATTAATTTAAGGGGTTTTCGCGGAGAGGCATTTACGATCGTTTCCGCATGTTTCCGAGGTTAAGTAAAATTTTTGCCGCCGTCGCCATGTTTGTTTGGCGTTTCCGCCATTCTCATTGGCTAGTTCGTACTTCGCGCCCTCGGCCGGATAAAATTTAAGGGTTTTTTTTTAACCAAGGGGATGGCTTAAATTTTATTTTCCATCCCGATGGAAGCGATTCTCACTAAGGGGGCCATTTTTACTAACTAAGAATTTTATTTAAGCCAAGGATCGATCGTAAATGCTACCATAAGAACCAATGCTACGGAAATTTCATATTAACTAAGAAAAACGATCGTAAATGGGTCTTAAGCGTGTATTGTCATCCACGAAGAGAATTCACGACGCTCCTTACGCTAAACTAAATACTGTCTCTACCAGAAGGCAAAGTCTCGTTCCACCCGCGAGTGCTTCCGTCATTTGCTGTAACGAAACTGCCTAGTTGAGCCTCATAGCTCTCAAAGCGCCTTACAGGTAGGCAACATCCTGCCAGCCATGCATGCGTGTACTGCGGGGTGGCCTACCCCGAGCTGTTGTAGGACAGCGAAGGGCGATTGACCGCCAAAGTGCAAGCGCTGCAGAATGCCGGCGCGGCTGGACGCGAGGCTAGCCCATCCCATTTCATGGGTCGAAATCGTGGATTTCGGAGGTACGGAGCCTAAATGGTAGATTTCACCTGTGAGAGACCGTGTGCAAAGTCTAGGGCCTCTGTGCGACAACGTTTACCCGGATCGCATTGCGATTTTCGTTTTGGCCCAACCTTGGCGCCAAACAGGTAGACCATTTTGTAGGCGCTGCCCTGCGCGCACGGTGGGACCTGGGGGTTATCAAAATAAGCATCGGCCGACCGACCGACCGACCGGCCGACCGACCGGCCGATTGTCCAAAACGTGTTTAAAGTGGGTGACACGCACATTTTCGGAAAGGGGGAAGTGTGTATTCTGTAACAAACATTGAGATGCGCCGTTTATAACGCCCGTGAGACGCACTAGGATAAAGTGACAAAGGAATGCGATCAACTGTAAATGCCCGCGGCGCTACTTAAATTGTCGTTTCTAATCTTGGTGTAAAGTACTGACCCCAAAATTTGCAAATTTGTTACGTTTCAACATGAGAAACGGCAGTTTTAGAAGCGCCAGGTCTCTGGACACGCCCCGTGTGTCGAGAGCTCGGATCCTTCACATCTGATACAATACAAAGAAGGACCCACTTTCAGCCCGAGTCGTTCGCCCTGGTCCCACCGTGCGTGCAGTGCAGCGCCTACAAGATGGTCTATTGTTTGGCGCCAAGGTTGGGCCAAAACGAAAATCGCAATGCGATCCGGGTAAACGTTGTCGCACAGGCCCCGGACTTTGCACACGGTCTCTAATAGGTCAAAACTAACATTTAGGCTCCGTACCTCGAAAACGTTTTTGCGGTGGGATGGGCTACGCGAGGCCTCGGCCGAGCCTCGCAGGCGCCGAGCTCTCCGAGTTTATAGGATGTCCCCTTTGAAAATGGGACGGGTGCGGTGCGAGCGCGAGTCGGGAGCACTGGTCTGATTCGTCGATTTTGCAGAGCTCTGCCGCGCGCATCGAGGTGCGAGGTGCGTGACGAGCGGCTGCTGCACTGCACCTCACGACTTTGATGTTTCGTAACAAATTATACAGTCGTCAGTTGTCCAAAATAAATACATTTCTCTTATTTTTAGTACTGTGGATCTCGTCCTGCGCAGTGTCACGAGTTTCCGTTGAGAAGGAACCAAAGTGGGGGGGGGGTACGATTTGGGAGCCGTGTGAAAAAACAACACCTTGTCAACGTTCCTCTTGATAAAAGATAGGAAACATTTTAAGCCCGAAGACGATCGGAATTGAAATGGGAGAGTTATTTCCCTCCAAATTGGCACTTGGGTCTTTTATGGCACTTTTTGAGGCTAATAACTTTGCCGTTTCGATCATTTAGCATTTCCGTTTTAATTTTGAAAGAGGAATCCAGATCTATAATTACAACTTAAATTTTCAAACATGAAATATTCCAATTTTAGAATTTAGTCTATTTGAACAAAATTTAATGCTGTTCACTTAGTATAGAATGACTGGTAGTGTCCTAATCATTCAATAGCAAATGTCAACAGGGTTCCTAGCCCACAAGTTCTCGTCACAAGAGTAATGAACCTGGAAGGTACCGAACAATATGAGTGAACGAAAGGTATTGAACATTTAGAATTATGTTGAATTATAATTATAATTGTCCTACCTAACCAGAATTTACTGCAAGAAAGCATGTTGCTACCATTATGCTTTGCTGAACTGGGGGGGGGGGGAGGAACTGTGGACAGGGCTATTGACACTAAACCAATTTTTCATAACTGGCAAATGGCAGCAGACAGCACACGCAGACAAATGTTTACATCTTGATGTCTTGTGTAGTGGTGTGGTAAATTTGTTGGAGTTACCAATGGTTATTTCTAGAGGGAAATGAATTATTTCATAACTGTTTGAGCAATGAGAGAGACCAATTTGTATAATTACAGGTTTTCTGGGAATTCTTACTGTTGATATGAAATAACCTTGGAATCAAAAAGAGTCAAGTTCACATAACTCTTTATGCTCTGTTGAAATTTTGATGACTTTTGGGTTAAGTCGACTTATCACCTTTTGGTACGTGGATACTAGTGTGCAAAAGGAGGTAAGTTCGACTAACCTCCTTTTACAATCCCCTCCATCTCTCATCCTATGGTGTTATATTCACTTAAGGATTCTAGTGAGCTCCGGGTGACTTCGGGTGAGTTCTCTCCGGAGAGTTTCGGGTGAAGTAGAGAGAGTGGGGGTAGAATGCGGGGCAGA